CTGAAGCTGAGCATGAAGCGGGAGAAGGCCCTCAGCGCAGTCGCATCAACATATGTAGTTTGGTAAACTTTAAACACACAAATACAAAGAAATAAAAACATACATCAACAGACACATGTCTAGTTTAGAGTCTTGTTTAGCTTTAATATATTTGAGGATACGGAATATTTAAATTCCGTATCCTCCTAAGCGTTTGTTGTTGTTTTTTTTTTTTTTTTGTGTTGTTTTTTTAGATGTCCAAAAGAAAATAGCTGAAACAAAAACTCAAACTATCCTCAAATGGCGAGGCAAACACTTTGCACTGGCGAAGTCAGAGTCATGACCTCAGACCAAACAAGAATTTGTTGCAAGGCTTGAAAATTGCTGCTTGCTCACCAGACAGCAGATGGATTGAGTGATCTTTATAGAAAATAGAACTGAACTTTCTGTCTTGAGGCCGCATTTACCACCAGAATTAGATTTTAGTGTAGCTTCAGTTTATTAATAGGGATTAATGTTGGGAAAAAAAAAGAGCCGTTATATGCATGAAAAACTACAATTTATGCAAATTTGTATTGTTATTAGACAATGTAAATACAAGTAGCTATTTTCTTTACAACTATAGGACAGTGCTTTCCTCTTTTTTTACTCTTTTTTTGCTAAAATGACAAAAAGTTAAAACTTTTAATGTGATACCGTAAATAGTAATAAAGACACTCATGACTTTAGATAAAAACGGAACTTAATGTAATGTATAATTAAAGATTATTACTTGAAATGTTTTACTCTATAATCTTTGAGCTACTTTGAACAGTTCTCTAATTTAGTGCTGCTTTAAACAGCAACACTAGTTAGTTTCTTTTGAGGGTGAGGTTTTTGAAAATCTCTTATTGGCAAAGTATCTAAGTTAAGTACTTGTACAGTAAATTTGATAGCATTTATGAATTTCATAGAGATTTAATTGGAGAATTATTTTGCCTTGAACACAAGAGCCTCAGATCTGTTTTATCTGTTTGTGTTTTATGTTTTCTGAGCTACTCTTTTTATGGAATAATAATTATTCATCTGGAATTAGTAGGAGCTACGCAAGCATGAAAAAAACCTAAATAACACATTAACGAGAGTTTTGTTTCTCCAGCTTCCACCGCTTTTCGATGGCTGCTTCTTCTTCCTTCTCGGCTCCTTTAAGGGGCCAACAAAAGATGAGCTCGCCAAGCTGTTGCGAGAAGGAGGCGGCCAACTTCTGAGCCGGCAGCCAAAGCCGGACAGCGACGTTACACAGACTCTGAATGCAGCAGCCTACCATGCAGAGCCAGGCTCTGACCAGACCCTCTGCACCCAGTACATCATCTACGACCCACAGGGAACCTACAAGCCGGCGGTTGTCAGACGAGGGAAAGTGTGGTCTGCTCCCTCAACCTGGATCATTAACTGCATTGCAGCCTTCCGCCTTCTCCCTGTGCCTCAGCATTAAATTATCTGTTTTTTGTTCTTTTTTTTTTTTTTTGTTCACCATTACATTTCTTCTATATTTTACTCACTCAGAATGGTTTTTAACTTGTGGTACATTGGTTGTTTTCAATCACAAATAACTAGTTCCTTTGCAAATGAAAACAATTATGTTTCGTTTTATGATTCTGTATGTGTTTAAAATATGACACAAATGCTAATAAAGTTGTTCTTTGTAGACTTGTATTATTAACCAATGTTTGCTTTCAGTGCCTTTTAAGACTGAATAACTAAAATGGAAATTGAAAAAAAATCAATCCAGCCAATACATTTGTGTTTTCAGAAAATTTGTCTATGTAGTATTTGTGGAGTAGTTGTGCAATTGTACATTTCTCTGAATTAAAAATATTCTTCAGTATATTGCCTTTGTTTTTTTATTCTGTGGAGACTGCTAGTAGAAATGCAATTAATAATAAGAAAAGAGATCTAAAATGCTAAAATTTAGGAATTTACTATTATAATTAGAGCTACGTCAACAAAAAGGGATTGTTCTTAGTTTGTGGTTGTCATAAGACAATGTGGAGACAATTCTCTGTTTATCTGTGATACACATGTGCTTGTGTACCTGGAAACAAGAAATATGTGAGGAGGATGGTAAGTACTTATACACTGTACGTCCTACTCTGTAAATGAATACTCATACATTCTGATGAGGCTTATCAGATTCAAAGTAGCTATAGTAGCTTTCTTATCAAATTTCTCTCATTAAGCACACATTTCTGTATTAAAATATTTACACATATTTGATGTAATATCCTGATCTTAAAAGTTACGTCAATAGCTGTTGGAACATTTTCAAAATAACCAGAAATGAAGGCATTAAAACACCAGTCTAATGTATGCAGTCTGTGTAACTTGGTGAAATGAGTTATTGAAATAAAATTTCAATATTTAAGTTATAAAGCTTTATTGGATTGAAACTATATTTACTTAAAATAAATATACACTACTAAAAAAAAAATAATGGGAACACTCAAATAACATCCTCGATCTGAATGAATGAAATAAATATGAAAATAATTTCCACCTGTTGTCTATTCCATTTGCACAACAGCAGGTGATATTGATTGTCAATCAGTGTTGCTTTCTAAGTGGACAGTTTGATGTCACAGAAGTTTGATTTAGTTATATTGTGTTGTTTGAGTGTTCCCTTTATTTTTTTGAGCAGTATACTTTTTCTTGTGTATTGCTGAAAGACTTATACATGCCTGCAAATGCCACATTTATCGCTTCTATTATTTGCAAGTGTAAACAGTGGGGATGTCCAGCCTTCAGGAAGGAAAAGGGCTCTGTGTCTAAAGATGCCTCCCAGCAGGTAAAAAAATATATATATCATTATCCATCATAAAACAAGTCTAGTACTGACATAGGCTGAGAGACCCCTCACAGATAAAGAAATCATTACGCCAAAACCATCATTTAAGTTAGTTCACAGTTATACTCAAGGAGAAATGGAGAAGGATCCAAATTTTTGGTTTTGATCAATCTAAAATGAATGGTTGGCTAAAACACCATTAATGGCACGCGAGGAGTATTCACCCCTGGCAGATTTGTTGATCAACAGATTTGGCACTATGTTTGTGTGAGTGAAAGCAGGAGGGCCCGTCAGTTGGACTTGAGGGACCTGGCAGTCCTTGTGGTGGCTAGGGCCATTTTGTTGTAATGTTATACTAGGTGGAAATGAGCTTGATGTGTGACCAACGGATACAAAAGATGTGCTGTGAAGTCTTGCTGCTGGGGTTTGTTGTGAATCCGAGGCCGGTGGGAATTGGTGGTGGGTCCCAGGTCCCAGTATTCTGTGCTTCTTTGGCCTGGGGTCAGCTGCTGCTATGCTGCACTGATGTCCTGCCTCTGCAAGATGTATGGCTACCTTGTGGTGGTGCCTTGTGTCTCTGTGCCTCAGGCTGTTGTCCACCTGTCCTCTGTTGCTCTTGGGTGCTGCGTGTTGCAGGGCTTCTACCATTCTCACCACTGTCAGAAACATTCAACCCGATATGACAAACCCATTCACATACGCATACCCACTAATCATACACACTTATTTATATTTGCTAAAACACCACACCCAATACACAGCCACAAATAATCCAAATGGTTGAAGATCAAATGTACTTGAACTTTACACAAACATGCACTTTGATGTTGAATGCAGTCTTGAGTTAAAGTTAATCACACAATTAGAATATTATCTTGAAAATATCCCTTTACTTTGGAAAATGTGTGTCATCAAATGAAGGCAACCAGCTTCTCCATATAATATGCCTGATATGCTTTAAACCCCCTCTACCCAAAAAATCTTTCCAGGTAGGGCTGACAGCAGTTGAAGAATAAATAGTTTTTCCCAAAGACAAAGGACAATATATCCAGGCCACAACAAACATATGAATCCCTCTAACATCGGATGTAAAGTTGCTGTCTGGTGCTCCAAGCCGCCTTGTACGGGTGAGCTAAACCACCCTGCAGAGAAAGTTCGTGGATCTGGGTTGAGGTCTGCAGTTAGATCAGCTGAAATTGGATTGAATTAGATCATAATTTGCCACCTCTTGACAACAACACTCCGGCACAGGCTCAGCATCAGCGCATGTCGATGTGCAGTTCAATTTGAGCACTTTCATCTGTTGCTGAAAATTCTACTCTGCAGGCTGTTTTGTTTGTTGCTCAGTGTTGTGTGCATGCAGTTTTTTGAGTGTGATTATTATTTTTTATTGCAAATGAATATAGGAGAAAGAGATAATTATCTAATTGAGAATGTCTGCTTAGTATATCGCAGACAATAGGTCCCCAAAAACCCGACAGAAAGTCAATGTTATGTGTAGAACAGGAAAATAAAGCCCTGACACTCAAAAAGACGTTCAGGTATGTGCACTTTAAATACCCTCTGCTGGCCATTTCCCAAGATACCATTTTCAGCGGGATTAGTAAGGGACACGACTAATTGCTATTGATTGCAATGTGCTGCATAAAATTGCTTCCCCCTTTTTTGTTCATGGTGGGAGGTTGAGGAGGGCAATTAGTTGGGAGGATGAGATAGAAGCCCAGACTGGCTTGTAATGAAATGGAATGGAAGAACGAACCAGTGAATAATGCCCTTGAACTCAGAGAGTATTACAAAACCATTAAGCACTGGTATCTCCCTATTCTTCCTCTCCTACAACCATGAGCCAGCAAGACTGTGTGTGTGTTTTTATTTATTTACTTATTCCGATATCCTCTGCCTTGGAAACATAATACCTTAGGGTTTTGCTGCTTTCTGGTTCACTGACCCAGTAGTTGTGTTTAGCAAAAATAAAAAGAATTCAGTAGGATATGTCCAGAAAGCATATTCCAAGTTATGTTTTTTCTTCTTTTTTGTATAGTTTTTTGGAGTTGCTTTTGTGTCCCTCAAGATGTAATCTGGGGCAACAAATTACAAAACATCCTCCTGATTTAAAAAAAAATAATAATGAAAAAAAAAACATGTCTGAACACAACCGAAAAAAGAACTGACACACATCCTTTGAATAACACTTCTTTTTATGTCTATTTAACAAAATATTTTGTTGTCTAAATGAATAATACATATTTTGTAATTTCTGATGACATTTTCTTTTACTCCAGCTGAGATTTCAGAATACACATTTTACTTTTGAAGATATTTACATATAAACAACTTGTGGAGCACCAAGGATTGCTTTGAAATTTGGACTCTGTTTTTCAATTTCAGTTGAACTTGTGTGAGCATGTATTCAAATACAATCAGATATGCTCATGAGTTAAAATGTTCCTATGATCTGAGTCCACTATCAACAAATCCTTAGTGCTTGCCCCCCACCCAAAGAATAATACAATTGATTGTATAGTAACAGTGTTTTAATCTTTCTTTACCAGATCTGTGTTGGTTTTCAGGCACACTTCATTTAACAGTTTTGTTGCAGAATGAAATAATAAGGGGAAAAAACACAATCGTTGATAGTTTCCAGCTACAGTAAGTCGGTGTCTCGTGGAAAAAGCAGAAAGGGGGAACCTGTACAAAATGCCGATGTACAAGCCTGCAGTGTGAAGACAGGACAGATGGAACTGTTTGAACAAAACATTTGCAAACATACAAAAAGACTCAACTGCCTTGCAAGAAAGTCCACAAAAACAGACAGAGCAGCCGATCTGTCCTTCCACGTATTTTCAAGGAGAATAGTAATGGAAGGTTAGGAGAACAGCAGATATGTGCTGCTTTTTTGAAAGGTAGTGTGTTTTGTTTTACTAAAGCCTGCGGCTGTATGCTTAACCATGTAATTTGTAAAAAAAAGCCACTGAGCTAATCTAGTGATTAACAAGTGACTTTACTTAAAATTCAAATCAACAAAAACAAAAAACAAATGCAGCAATGTGGCGCTGTTGCATTTCTGCATCCAATCTACGGCAATGAAGCATAAATCCAGCTATAAATGTACAGTTTCCTGATTGATTTGCTCTCTGAGAGAAACCTGAATAACAACTGTGCTCCAACATTTGCAGCAACACTTGATCTAAAGTCTAGGCTGTTTTACTTTCTGTTGACAACCACTTCACCTTCTATCATTCTACTTTCCAGCTCAGGCAATGAGAGCAGCTCACCATATCAAGAAAATGAGAAACCATTGTTCATCCAATTTAGTTTGCTAAAAGCTGTGCGCTTCAGAGGCGTTGGAAATGCATTTGTGAGAGCAAGCACTACAGTGAGCTACAATGTCACATTGCAATAAGGATCAAGTAGCTTTCGTGTGCAAATCATATCCACCACTTTTGCATATTCTCTCTCTTTTTCTTTTCCTTTCTCTCTCTTTTTTTTATTTATTTTTTTTACCTTTATCAAATGCTTGTGTATTTTTAGATCCAGCCTCTTGAGTTTCGACTGTGAATGAACTGCTCTTGTCCTTGTACTCGTGTTGAACCCACTGGCTGTTGGAGGATAAAACAATGAATAGTTTGGGGGGTAAAATATCACAGTAAATCACAGCAAGGAGGAACGATACAAGCCAGCACTTAGAAAAGTCCAGAGCTGTTCAGTCTGTGTAATTGCCAAAAGCCACACTTTGTGAATCTTATCTGGAATAGTAGCAAGAAGGCATCTGTGGTGGCAACGTAGCCTTTGAGTCCCGTCCATACAGTATGTGGTGCTGTCAGTTTGAACTCTCTTTCTTTCTGTTCAGTCAGTCTCACCTTTGACCAGTAATTCTAACATTTTTTTTTCTCCCTACATATAAAAGCTGAATAATTAGATGGCATTTAAAGTAATTATGATGAATGAATTTCCTTTCATAATTCTGAAATGTCTGGAGCACAGAGGGTGCAGCTGATAAACCATTTATGTCAGTGTTGCTTTATGAGCCTGCAGACCTCTCACCAGATAGATGAGCTCTGTCTGTGCACAACGAAAGATGATAAATCAAAGCAGCTAAAAGATGAAAATGATTCAAACTCTGTTGTTGCTCTTAGATAGCATGGCATTTTTATAAAAGTAAATATGTGTGAAGTTATGTGTTAGTATTGTTATCTGAAGTCACACAGATTGCTGTGAAAGTTTGTAGAAAAAGTCAGTCTGCAATTTTAGCTGATTCCTAAAATGGAAAAGTTTAAATACTTTGTACTTAGGATGCAATGCTAGTATCCTAAGCACTAGTGGATATATACTGTTTCATAAGAGTTTTCAAGTTTTCGTAGCCATTTTTGATGCAGTTGTATAAAATGACGGCATTTTAGCCTTTTTCCCACATTTTCAAATTGATATGATTTACTGCATTTTGATTAAAATGTTAAGAATGCATGACAGTATGACTGTCATACACTGACTGTAGATATCAGTGAAGGCTTTGTATTAGCAAGTTAACATGTAACAATTCAATGCCTTAAGCTCCAACAGACTTGGAAATTTAGAGAAACAGCATATTCACCAGCTATTTTCCCTGGGATGTCTGCATCTGTGAACAAAGGATAATTGGAAAATGCATAGACCAACTGAACCGATGCCTCAAAATCAAAAATTAAGTGCAACTTGAGTTGATGGGATTAGATAACTATATTAATCCCCTGTGGTGCAGTTGTGAGGAATTTTATTTCACAGAGGACTTAATTACCTCAAGAACAAGTATTAAGAGGTGCAAATAATGGCATATGGCATCTTGTGCTGTATTTTTAAAGCCAGGTTGGTTCTCATGCTGTGGGAGTGGGTTAAGTAACTCAAGGATTATATATATACATTCCATTCCCCATTTTTTAAAAGTAATATTATTGACTCCACCTAATTAAACTTTAATGTTCCTCTATTTGTCTTCATAATATGTCATTTTATTGTTTCACAGTAAGTGAAGACACTATGTGTGTATTACTGAGGAATTATAATTTTACAGCAAAATTATTGCAATATCTTGTTGGATTACTACAGTGGAAGTTTGATGATCTCTTCAAAGAATCTTACCTAAAATCTCTTCTCGATTTAAGTTGGCACCCCGGATTTTTGAAATAGGGTTATTTTACTGGGTTATGAGCAGAAAGCTTACCTATTAACTTCACTTAGTGTAAACCCAGATTGGCTCACAAAGGCTCAAGATAATGGCTAGTACATGACAAACAACACTAAAGCAACTTCGCCATTATAATAATTTGTGTAAGTGATATTTTGTAAAATATTAAGAACTACAGTAAAAATCAAAAACATAAATTTAAGTGAACATTTTTACATTCATTTTACAGGACTTACTTTACTATTAGGTAATTACGCAGACCAGAAATACTTTTTTTTTTTAATTACATTTCATGTGGGAACATTATTGGTGGTACCAAATCTCTTTCCTTCATTTCCTGTATAAATACTCATTGGCTTTTGTGAAAATAGCCATATAATGCAAGAGTGATGATAACAATTAAAAGCTTCATAAAATAAAATAACATTTACATAAACTTTAATCTGTTTTTTTGACAATTGCTATACAAAGGTGATCTAATTTGATCTTGGGTCTGTGACCGAATAATATGGGTTTACACTAAATGACGATGCAAAGATATTTATTTGCTGTTGGTAAGACATTAACTGCTTGAAACCTTGAAACATAAATTTCAAAGATTCCAAACAGCCTCTTCAAAACTGAACTTTAACCAATTTACTTTTCAAGACATGCAGCAGATATCCATACTTTGGGATCCTTCCAAAATTAGTTTTAATGCCTTTTAAGGTGACATACCTCTTTAGTCACAGGTCTTTAATCCTCTGTTCATTGCTGTCTCATTACAGAGGGCTAGAAGCTGCTATTAAGCAACACATCCATCACTGCACAGGAATGGGGTTTAAAAGGTTAACGGAAACAGATTTTCTTGAAACGCGGGGAAAAAAATCCTTGTGATGAATGGCGGGAGCATATGGAAAATCACCTTTGGATTAATGAGTAGTATTTATCAAGTGAAAGATTTTATGTTTATGGTGCTTCAATATATCCGCCTTGCTGTTTATCAGTGCGATGGCCACATAGCTGCTCTACACTGGCTGAGACATTCTGATGCATTTAAGAGAGAACAGAGTGAAAATGTGTGACATAATCAGTGTTACATTTTAGAGCTCTGTATCTTAGCGCGCCTTATGCATGTGGTTTATGCGCCTCAGTGAGTTCAGAGCAACAAACTGTCTTGAGATAGTGGATGAATGACACGGCTGTATCGTCACATGGACATCACACTTGTGAATGCTGCCTAAAAAGCGCTTCACCATGTGCAGATTCCCCCCCTTTGTGTGCCGGTTCATGTTAAATGTGCCCAGCAAGCAGGCTTTGCCAAGCACCCAGCTGGATGATTTATTACAGAATACTCCTGATTAAGGAAAATTAAAGCAGGTTGCTCTTGGCTCACTAAGTGCTTTGATAACAAGTTCAAGCAGCTAGTTAGTTGACAGATCTTCATCTCGGAGAAAAGAAAAACAAACAAAGAAACCAGTTGGTCAGGAAAGACTAGCTTTCTGCTCATCAAAAGGTTTGCAGTGGCTGCCATCTTGCTTGCGCCTCAGCTACACATGGTAATGCTAACCTCCTCAGTTTGTGCTGCTCTTACACAGAGACATGGCACAAAGTAACGGGATACTTATAAAGCAAAAAATCTTAGGATTTTTGTGGTTTATGAAATATCACAATGGCAGGGTATAGATGAGCAACAGCCACATTGATTTTAAAAAGTCTTATGAAGACAAACGTTAATGTGCCTTTTGTAAACAAGCTCTCGGAGGGAAGTTGGGGAGCTCAAGTTTATCTGCAGTGGTAATCCTAGTATAACCAGGAGAACATAAAAAAGCTCAGTAAAGTGTGCTTTCAATTTTTTTTCTTTTTTTTTTTTTTTCTTGCTGTTCAAACTTTACAACACCAGCGTGGCCGTGAAGAACACATAGTAACAACAAGCTGAAGACATACATACAGAAAATTGACATGAGCAGTTCAACATTGCCGGTGGATAGGAAAGAGTTCAAGAAGCTTAGAAAGTTTCTGAGAGAAAGCAGCAGAGATAACTTTTGAAAATATATAGGCCGAGTAAAACTGCAGGGCTGGAACAGCCGTGAGACAAGTCCCATTATCTTCTCACTGGCAAAAATGTTGTACTTGTGTGAAGTCCGTGAGAACGTCTCTTTAATTCTACACTGTCTCTTGTTTTCTTTTTACTCTTTGTTTTTTTGATGTTTTGTTGTTGTTTTTTTGTAGGAATTGTGCTCATGCCCTGCCAATCATATAAAATGGCGCAGTAGGCAGAGCTTCGCCTGAGTTTATTCACCATCCGCAGTGGAGTCTCTCTTTATGAAGACTGGCCGTTGAGACATTCCCGCCGCAAGCACTGCGCCGGCTTCCACCAGTCTCCGTTGTGGCAGCGGCAGATGGTGCAGTCGTCCACCTTTACATCCTTTCCGGCTGGGATGATCGTCGTTCCGGCAAAGCAATTTGGACCTGCCGCATGAGAAGGAATGGGGGGGAGGGAAAAGAAGGTAGAAACACAGGAAACGAGGAGTGAGAACGACAAGAAATGGATGCATCTCCCCCGAGAGCTTTCTCTTTGCAGAAGGAAGGGGTGGTGGAGTGATGCAGAGAACTGGGGGGAGTTAAGGGAGTCAGAGCAGACGCACAGATCTTTTCACAGGCACGCACCGATGGGCTTGTTTTTGCAACACTAAAGCGCTTTTGTTAGTCTCCCCTTCTCCCTCGACATGGAGCGCTTTGCATCCTAATGCGCCACGAGCAGAGGAGCCTGCCAGGCGCTGGCTTGGCAGCACTGAGAGGCTGGAGTGCACAAAGAGAGGCAGAGGAAGAGAGAGAAAGCTGCTTTGAGAGGGCAGAGGGAGGGTTGGTGTTAATCACTTCACTTCTGTATGAAAGAGCCACAGAATTCCTTATAGTTTTCTTTTTTTTTTCTCCTACAAATGCAAGAACAGACTTGCAAGGCAATAAAGTACTCAGATTAACTTTGACATCTGATTTATCCTTAAAGCTCAGTAGGATTTACCTTTGTAGATTCCATCTTGTTGATAGGATTCCTTTTTAAAATGTGCTTGTGTACCACTGGAACACACATTATTCCCATGTATTTGGTAATCTGAGCTGGTACAGAGGCAGATACTGTTTAAAGATTACAATGTTTTCTTGTAGGCTAAATCTGCTGCACCTGCATAATGTTACAGGTAAAAACCAAGCACTTTTCTTATTTGCTTTATTTCTTTCCATTCCTAAATGAGAACTGACGGTGTCTCTCCTTCCACTTATTTTGTCTCAGGACAAAATAAGTGGAAGGTTTGCAGAATTTGCCTAGTTTTACTCATTTAAACAAAGTAATGAACAGCTCAATTGGCGTGACAGTCACTTGAGATTGCTCTCAGCATTCAGCTCTGTACAACCTGCATGACTGACGACTCCTCTACAACTTGCTATAAAAAAAACCCAAAATGTGTCATAACTCTTCAAGACAAAGTCTCTTTCAGGGCCAGTAGTCATTTTAGTGTCCCAATAAAACTGATTTATTGTGAGATAATCTAATGTGAGAGGTGTGAATGGCTGTCAGCTGGATAAGTTACATGGTGTCCGTGTACCTGCCACATGTCTGGAAATTGGAGGAGGAAATTTCAGCCATTTTAGAAAAACTAAAAGATTTTCACTCACTGGCCACTTTATTAGCTACATCTTGCTCATACCATGTTGGACTGCACTTTAACTATAGAAGTGCTTTAATTAGTTCTGGTTTACATTAAGCCAGCTGTCAGAAATATTCTTCTGAAGAAAGTTTTCTTTGGGATTAAGATGTGGTGGCTGTGGAGGTTAATAGAGAACACTTTATGACATACTCCTAAAATGAATTTCAGTATTATTTATGTTTGAGCTCTCAGACATTGTGTAAGATACTCCTGAAGCCTTTGGAATATGGGTAAGCTTTGAACATAAAGGGAGGGACATTGTCAGCAGCAGTAGATAGGGAGTCTCTGATTCTTAAAAAAAGCTCATTTAATACTAAAAAACCTAAAGTGTGCCAATAAAATATCCCCACCATCACCATCACACTGTTAACAGAGCAGGATGGATCAGTGCTTTCATGTTTTTGGTCAAACTTTGACCCTATCAAAATCAAGACTAATTGAACTTTGAGACATTTTATTTTCCAATCTGTTGTTCAATTCTGATGGGTTTGAGTGAACTGAGTCCTCAGTTTCCTCAGGTTAGCAAACAGGAAGGCATCTGGTGTTATCTTTTGCTGCTACTGCAGCCCCTCCGCTTTAAGGTTTAAGACATCTTGTATTCGGAGATGGTGAACTGCAGACCTTAACTCTAAGGAGAGGTTGGAGCAGTTGAGCAGTTTTTACCTTTCTGTCATCTGGAACCTGGAATCTGTTTATTCTCCTCTGACGTCATTGGTACATAAAACTCCCTTGATGTTATTTTGTTTCTATTTTGTGGGTCATTTTCTGCAAACTTAGAGATCCCCGTGTATCCCCTGTGTAAAAATAGATTGGCATTTTTTAAAAACTTTGACCAGTCATTTGGCACCAGCAAAATGCATTGAGTTGAAGAGCCATGATTGGTTGATTCACTAATTATGTTGACAAGCTGTTAAAAAGTTATACACCCCACAAAGTGGTCATTCTATTTGAAACTGTGGTATAAAAACTATATGATACTAATTAACTTAAAAAATATATATTTGTAATCCATCAGGCCTCATCATAGTTCTGCTCTAACCATGACTTCAGAAATCAAGGTGAATAAACAATCTTTGAATTCAAGTGCAAATTTAAAGGCAAGATATTATGTAAAATTAACTTTGTGGAGATTTACATCATTTTATAATGTTATTCCCTCTTCAAAAACATTTCTGTGTTTCAATTCTTGTCATGCAAGCTTCATAAATTTTTGAATCTCCTGTGGCAGCTATTTAGGGATGTCTATTTCTGTAACGCTCGTCCAAGATCCACTACATAATGTTAGCCACAAATAAACTTCAAGGCTTTTAGTCCTAGTCCATGTCAGATAAAAATGTTGTGTTTGTGCTTTCTTCTAAATGTTTTTAAATAGTTTAAGAAATATGAGATTTTTGCAGTCTAACAGGCCAATAGTTTTTCTCCAACTGAAGTAATATTTGGAAAAAGAAGGTGGAAATGAAGAAAGTATCCCTGAACAGTAAGCCAAAAGAACTCAAAGTCTACTAGGAGTTCTCATCTTCCTCATATGACTTAGCATAGATAATTTCTATCTTATTCGGTAGTTGTTTGGAGGATGTTGACCTGGTAAAGGTCCCTTTGATCTGAGCTTAGAGGAGACACTGAAAGTGCTTGCCAAGTCTTAACTCCCATTGATCTACCTCTAGACAGCTGGCACAGGTTACAGGACAAACTCAGTTGAGGTTGATGTGGGATGAGTGTGACCAGTGCTGCTGCCAAGTGTTAACATTTTACAGTCAGATGGGCTTAGGGACACAAAAACACAGTTTCAGCTTCCTGTTTTCCTCCACAAAGGATGTTCGATCGCTGGTCTTAAGAGCTCATCAGTTGTTGCCAATTTGTGAGAACAGAATAATTCCATAGTTACCCGACCTTTGCTGAATGTCCACACTCAAACTACTTTAGTAAATATATTACTTTTCTACAATAAGTTATATTTTTTTTAAAAAGAAAACAATAAAAGATGTGCTCAAATGCTCCATCTTAGTCATCAAAGCCGTGTCTATATAGTGAGACATACAGGCAAGGGTCTATTGTTTTATAGATCAAAGATAAAGTAGGATTACAGCAATCCAAATAGGGTAATAACTCTCCTCTTGTTCAAATATTTACTAATGCCAACATCTTTTTTTCTTTAATTTGAGTGAAAAGTAGAGGAATTGTATTTGTTTTGCATGTTGTGGTTACCGCCCACCATGTATTATTAATTCTTGTAAATTAATACAAGAATAAATGTGCTCATTTGTTTAATTGTATTTTGTCTGGATCTGTTTTCATAAAATCCTTTTTTATTTTACTTTTTTTGTCATTGCTCTTCATTTTTATTGCATGTTCCCTGCTTTTCTTTCATGTTACTCTTGCTTTTTGCTCCCCCTTCACACCTAATTTGTTCCAATTTGCTAACTGTCACACCTGCCCTGGATCTGTCCTTTACTCGCTGAGGGTAAATAAAGTTCCTGGTTTTTACAGGTTATATTTTATATATTTTGCATTGTGTAGTCTGCTCTGTTAGAAAATTCTGTTCTCATTGTTTTACGGATTATCTTTGACTGATATCACCTCTTCAGTCTAGATTGAATACAGTCTCTCTTCTCCATTGCCTCACAACACTGAGAGCTTTTCTTTGATGGCTTCCCCCCCCCCACAACCAATGGAGCAATTGGTGCCATGCCAACAACCCAGTGTAAGCTTTAATCATTGAAATCAGAGTTTATTCACCTATTTGAATAAACTCTTTATTTGTTTGTTCATATATTTGAGTTTTGTGCCTTTTGATTCTCCAATAACTACAATATAAAATTATGCAAGTGAGTTCTGTGAGGCTGCCAAGTAGTGTCACATTAACCGACATTTCCATTAAAAATTTTGTCATAAAGATTTTGATATATAGTGACATTCATTTCTAAAACAACCCATGGTTTGACCTTTCTGCTTTGGGCTGATTTCAGCATTATCTTCACAACATTATACTAATATAAGTGATAAAATAGATGTGATAAAACATACGCTGCTGTTTCATAACATTATTCTTTTTTTCTGAAACTAGTTGTTTCTAATCATTCGGCATCATTACTAGCAGAAGAGTCCCACAAGGATGATTCTTGGACCCACTGCGATGTCTTATCATCAAATCAGTGGGTTAAACTATTGACAGTTTTTGTTTCTTTTCTTTAGGGACCCAAGCCTGAATGTTTATGATCTCTACAGGCTTCTGGAAAGGTAATTAAAAAATTATTAACAGTAAAAATTGTACAATGAAGAGTACCAGAAAATAGCAATGTCACCAAGTGTTAATTGCTTTCTATTATACAAAAGGTATGAGATAACATTATACATTTATACTTTCATTTCTTGTCCATGTATAATTACATGTTATTGTATTATGAGAATCCTATGATGTTCTTGCCTCTTCACAGCCACAAAGCCAAGAGAAACATTTTGACAAGCAAACATTTTATTGAAAAATACTTTGAAAATCTCAGACTGGTCTCAAACTAGAAGGTAAAAATCTCCAATAGTAAAGGATGCATAAATATTGCTCAGAACAATAAAAAAGGGAAAAATAATACATGGGCGTCTTGCTCCACTCTGCCAAATACATAAATAAATTAATAAATTAAAAAAAAATTCACTGAGCTCTTTTGGACAGCAGTGCGATTATTTAGAAAAATGCATGCCTCACCCTGACAGGTGGTTTGACTCAAGCATTTCTTCATCCCACTTGTTTGTTCTCTGCCCAGAAGTGAGAGCTAAACATCACCCCCTCTTTGTCCTCTCTTCACATCCCCAAGCCTTCCACTTGTATTGAGATTTATGTGTATCCCTGAGACTGACCAAACACCCTTGGGGCACCTGCAAACAGCAGGCCCTCCCTGAAATGCCAAGGGTGTCATTGTGTCCTGTCAGGCTGAATTAGATCTCCTCAAGCAGCTTCGGCAGCCTTGTTACTGTAGGTGTTTTTGTGTGAGAAAAGATGTTTGATTATTACTATACGTATACAATGGACATAAACAAAAAAACTTGGTATAAAAGGAATTGTGCACTGTCTTGATGAAATTCAGGTCAACTGCATGTACTTTAGTTCCAAATGCATTCTCTTTATGAATGCAGCATTGTGTTCATGCTATGAATTTGATATTACCCAAAGTGCCCTTTGCGTGCGATGTTTCCAACAGCTTGACTTTAGTCATAAAGTGCCATCTGTCCCTCAGGAATTGGAACGTGCTAAGGGAAGCCACCCACCTCGCCTTGCAGATAGTCAATGAACCATTGGAATCCTATAATTCTAATTTAGAGATTGGCTGTATGTGACAAGGGCGCCTGGGCGTTTGCAGATGAAAAGCCCTCCAAGGACCCATTAGTCCTTCGTACCGTCGCCTTTAATCAATGGGCTAATGTTTACTCTGCTTGGCGTGTCATTTATAATTAAAACTAGTACTGCTCATTAGTGTCTTGTGGGCCAAAGGTAATAATTTTAATACATAAAACATCAATTACGTCCTCATCTTCTAAGGGCATAAAATCATCTGGTGACGCTGTAGATAAACTTGCTCTCACTGGTGTAATGTAAACCTAATAACTCTAAAGAAATCTAATGCGCACCGATTTCCTGAGAATGTCAAGATGAATGTTTACCATGTTTACAGATGGGACAGCACTGCTCCGGCTCATAAACAGGGTTGACACACTCTGGAACAGCGCAGTCGGACACCACACAGTGTACCTCGTTATTTGGTTCACAGCGGCACCATTCACAGGGCGACGGCTGTGGGTAGAGGAAGAGAGAAGAAATCTGGGTCAGATGATTTATTTGGTTTTACCTTAATGAATGTGTTTTTGCATGCATGAGTGTCTGCTACAATTAAAACAAAGGTTGCTGAACTCTGAAAGACAAACAATAAATGAAGAAAAGAATACTCAAATCAAATGTATAATTCTTTTGTTCAGCCCTGGAAAAGCAAGTCTACTTTTTATGTCAAGTTTTGTGTTACTCCTTACTGCAACAGTAGAAATCAGAGTGAAGCAATGCCTTGAAATAACATTTGGTTGTGTGGGATAACACAACTGATAGTTAATTATCTATTTTCAACAAACTCGGTATAATTTACAAAATGCCATTTTGGATTAAGAGAGTTTCTGCTCTGTTCAAAAATATTCAATGGGTAATCCCATTGAACATTTTAGAAATTCTAACTTTTTATTTTACATGAGGTGAAACAACCTCTAGGAAATTCACATACACTTATTTTGGATGCATACTTTTATTGTATGATATTGCCACCGTCACATTTCATTTTAGGGATCATGTTTTCAGGGCAATGTGTATTAGTTTTTCAGCACAATTTGCATTTTTTAGGTAGTTCTGTTCTCATCTGGCCACAAAACCTTCTTCAACATTCGTTTTTCCTGCATTTGTGGAAGATTACAAAAAGAAACTGACCACGTTGTTTTAACAATGGCAACCTGTTCATCACGAATTTTGGAGTGCTGCAGACATAGTAAAGAGATTTCCTGTTGACAGGTTGCCCTGAGGCCTTCAGAGAACAGCAGAATTTAAACTAAGAATAAATTAAATTAATATAAATTAGAGCATAACCAGCAGAAGAAATTAGGTTTATGAAAACTGGTTGCACTAATTTGTCATTTTAGTGCCAGAGTAAAGATGGCTAAATAGATATGGGCATCCCACCTTTTTATGTTTGCACAACAAAAAGTATAATTTCCCTTGTACACCACAAGTGTTTGATACTGTTGGTTTAGTGTATAAATTAATGTGTGCGGGGGCCTTAACGGTGTGAGAATGTCTTTGTTCAAAAAGAGTAGGGGATCTTGGAAAAGAGATGGTGACAGATGGTGGAAAAACCAGAAACTGCAACAGACTTAAGACTGAGGCTGATGTCGGCTTTCCAACAAATGAACAACCCAAAACACACAGTCAAAGCTATTACTGAGTAATTTAGATCAAGACATAATCATGTGCTACAATGACTCAGTCAAATCCAGTTGAGAATCTATGGCAAAAACTGATTTGTTAAATATTCTCCAGTAGAGTGAAATGCTACTGATATGCTTTTAAGAATATTATTTGTACAAAGTTTTAAATAAACTGAATAATTGCAGTTTTGTATGATTGCTGAGGCAGTGAAATTAAAACAGTCAAGGGTCAAAAATTCTGCAATTTTGTGAACATGCTTAAATAGCTTTGACACTGAAATCAATCATAATGTAACTTTTTGTTAAAACTCTGCCACCAGGTGTGCACACATACATATAAACAGCAAGGGACACACAAATCAGGTCAATAGAAACTATAAAAAGACAAGTAACATATCTTTAAAAAATAAATAAATAAATAAACATAGACGTTGATGTAGAAACATCATTGGCTACTGTCACTGTGTGAGAGCAAAGAAGCCTGTGTAACATTACTCCTTTGTACAGACACAACACAGAAAGGAGTCCCCCATTGTCATGCCAACTTTGGTCCTTACAACTTTGACCTCATTTTTACATTTTTGAACAGACTATAAACATTATGACTGCTGCAAACCAAAGGGACTTTGCTTTGCTAATGAAAACATTGCCTGGAAAGTTGTCAAGCTACTGTGGCCAAATAGATAGATGCGGATCTTCTTGTCATAAATTGTTCTGGACTTGGGCCATTACAGTAAACTGGGAGGCTAATAAATCCAATGTCAACCGGTGTCATGTGGTGTTGGTGAAATTATGTTTTACACTTTCTATGTCTAAATGTTAAAGTTGCTTTATGATAAACTACTTTATCTTAAAGCAGATCTGTCATCATAGGGTAAGCAGCTGCTCGCTTTGGCAACAAGAAGTCCTTTGGCAAGAAAATGACCATGTTGCAGCACTGACACTCTGCTTGGGGATTGATGGGTTATTCATTTTGTTTATGTCATCAGCTATGTCAGAAGCTGTAACTCTGACAAAATTACTAAATCTGCAAGCAATTGCAACAACAGCAGCACAGCACAGGTTTATGTAAATAAGTGATTTAATGTTTCAATGAGCCCTTATGAGCTCTTTATGTTCTTTATGTATTATGACTTTATTGACTGGGGTTGTAGTTATAAGTCTAAAGTCATCTTTATCATTTTTTTCTCCGAAGAGTTTTTGCGGCACTAGTAGCTCATACTTTCGACAGTAGGGAGACAGAAAAGAGAGCGAGGAGAGGGGGGGAAGATATGCGGCAAAGGTTGCCGGGAACGGCAGTCGAACCCGCGATGTCCGCGTCGAGGACTGAGGCCTCCAAACGTGGGACGTGCTAACCCCTGCGCCACCACAGCACGCCCCTAAAGTAATTTTTTTGTTGGAAAAAATATATATTTCTATTTCTAGGGTCTTGCTTCTTTGCTTTTGTGACGACCAGTTTTATATTCTGTTTGCATTTTCCATCCATCCATCCATTTTCTTCAGCTTGTCCGGAGTCGGGTCGCGGGGGTAGCAGCTTCAGAAGGGAGGCCCAGAATTCCCTCTCCCCGGCCACTTCTTCCAGCTCTTCCGGGGGAACCCCAAGGCTTTCCCAGGCCAACCGAGAGACATAGTCCCTCCAGCGTGTCCTGGGTCTTCCCCGGGGCCTCCTCCGGATGGGATGTGCCCGGAACACCTTACTAGGGAGGTGTTCTGGGCCAGATGTCAGCTGAGATGCCCAAGCTTCCTCAGCTGGCTCCTCCCGATGTGAAGGAGCAGCAACTCTACTCTGAGTCCCTCCCGGATGACTGAGCTTCTCACGCCTATCTCTAACCTATGGAGAAAACCCATTTCAGCCACTTGTATCCATGATCTCATTCTTTCGGTCATGACCGAAAGAATGTGGTCATACCCTCATCACAGATGAGGGTAGGAACATAGATCGACTGGTAAATCGAGAGCTTCGCTTTTTCACTCAGCTCTTCTTCATCACGACGGACCAGTACAGCTCCTGCTTCACGGCAGACGCCGCGCCAATCCGCCTGTTGATCTCCCGCTCTCTTTTTCCCTCATTCGTGAACAAGATCCCAAGATACTTGAACACCTCCAGTTGAGGCAGGAGAACCCCTCAACCCGGAGGGGGGTATCTACCCTTTTCCGGCTCCAGACCATGGCCTCGGATTTGGAGGCACTGATTCTCAACCCGGCCACTTCACACTCAGCTGAGAACCTCTCCAGCGAGAGCTGCAGATCACATCCTGATGAAGCAAATAGGACCACATCATCCACAAAAAGCAGAGATGTGATCCTAAGGCCACCAAAACGGATCCCCTCAACACCTCGGCTATGCCTAGAAATTTTGTCCATGAACGTAATGAACAGAATCTGTGACAAAGGGCAGAGTCCAACTCCGCCAGGGCTTCTTAGCTGTAAGAACAAAAATCATAAGTAACATTTAAGGGCCAGAAAACACCAGCTCATGTGTTATTAATCTACAAAATATTTCCTTCATTAATTTAATTACAGAAATGAATGAACCTTTATACAAGGTTATGACAATGAAATGACAGAAACAATACGGAGAGTATTAATCAAAGAAGCAAGGTGACTCTCCAGGATGTGCAGACGTCCACAGCTCAGGTGGGGGAATCTGTCCACAAATTTGCCTTTATAGAAGTTAGGCTGGAAGAAAGCGAATAAATGTGTTAGACGTCCTGTTTGCAGAATACTTCGAGCCATGTAGGGGACACAGCAACATGCAGAAGAAGGCACTCTGGTCAAATAAGACCAAAGGTGCTATGTGGGACAGAAAATTAACACTTCATAACACATTGACCAAACACCATCTCCACAATAAAGCACAGTGTTGTCAATATCTTACTCTGGGGAGACTTTTCTTTGGCAGAAACAAGGAAACTGGACAGAATTACTGGGGAAGAGGATGTAAATAAATAAAAAAAACAATGCTGGAGAAAAAAAAAAGATGCTGTAAAAGGCTTGAGAAATATAACTTGAACTGTAGTCGACCTCACAGCAAAACAACCTTAGACATATAAGCTTGTAGAGACGGGGGTAATAGTCATGATTTAGGAAGACTGAATGCAAATGCATACAACAATCGTGTTCTTATTTTTATCTTTGAAAAAGTATTTGAATTCATCTATTATTTTATTTCTTGATGATAGTAGTGCTTGAACAGTTTTTGTTTCCATTTTTGGTTTAGGACACCATTATAGACATAATTTCTGGAAAGAATACAATCTAGAACTCAATGGACAAATAAGAAAAATCAAAGGAATCTGTGAACGGACAAAGAAAACACAAATAAATAATTAAATAGTAGAACTATAATTTAAAGTGTGCAAAAAAATGTCTCCCACTAAAGGGATAGCATCTCTGTCACAGAGAGATGCTATACTGTCTGCAGTGTGTCAAAACCAGCCTAAACAGAAATGTACTTCTTTGTCACTACAAGCCAATTTCATGGCTGGTAAGAGATTTTCTATTTTATAGAACTGTCAGTCACAGACCTTTAACTGATATGAACTTAAAAAGCCCTCTTTTGTTTGAAGAAGAAATAAACTGTGAAAGACAGACATTTCTAAACCAGTGGTTGTTGTCCAACCATAAGGTGAAAATTGATGTCCCAAACCACAGTATAAACATGGTTTCTACTCTTAAGCTCAGCTTATTTCTAAAGAAGACATCCAGAAGCCCACTGGGAGATATAAGAAGGTGTTGGCTGTTATATGGCTCCAAAATAGTGTAACTTATAGTACTGTAGATTGCCTGGAAAATACAAAACATTTTTCATTTTATTTATTATACTTAATG